AAAAAAAAAAAAAGAGGAAGAAGAGCTTACATAGAAACACAATGGTTTAACGTCTCCTTCGTTTCTTTTCTTCTTCCGACATTTGTTTCAATTTTCAGTTTTACGCACAAAGAGCCACTCCTTAACGACCATGTTTTGGTCTCACAGGATGTCTCAGGTATTCCTGTGCTCGACTTTATGCTGACTAGACCTTTTTCACTATTTGCTTTCGATATGTTTGTCATAGCACCAAACTGACATGAGAAAGCGCCTCATCAAAACTGACACGAGAAAGCACCTCATTAACCATCTCTTATCCGATCTTAGTTCAAAAATTAAATTCAGCATGTATATTACTTTTGCATGTATAGATACCTTCGATCTTCCGTCTTCAGCTCCAAAGAAAAACTTTAATTAATACTATTTATTAGTTTTGCTTTGAATCCTGTTAACTAATTTCAAACTGTAAGAAACTGGGGGAAAACGGTGCGGTCCCACCACCATGAGAAGGGAAAAACCCATATGAAGCCCAAGTGGGGTTCCATCCCAAAACCAATTGGTGGAAGGAGGAGTAGCCCATTAGACTTATAAGGTGGGTCTATTTTCCATGTATAAACGATGTGGGACAACTCACAAGTGATATTCTAACACGCCCCCTCACTTGTGAGTCCTTCGGAAGCCCAAGCCCAACTGGGCGCCCCAAGCCTACTACAAGCAGACTTTCTAGTAGACTCCTATAAACGGGTACGTGGGGAAGCAGACTCCCATAAACGGGTACGTCATCGCACGGTCCCAATAGAACTGAGCTCTGATACCATGTAAGAAATTGGGGGAAAAACAGGTGCGGGTCCACTAACATGAAGCGCACCATGAACGGGGAAAGCCCATATGAAGCCTAAGTGGGGTTCCATCCCAAAACCAATTGGTGGAAGGAGGAGTAGCCCATTAGACTTATAAGGGGGGGTCTATTTTCCATGTATAAAGATGGAGAAGATAGGGAATCGGGGACAATTAATTCGAGTGCTAGCAAAACCGGGTAATTCATTGTTCAGTTTGAGATTGACACTCTCGCTTAGACATCTAGCGGTTCGCTCCCAATAACTCTTCGTAACAAGGGATTGAACATAGACGAATAAGTTCGAGCATACAACACATGCCAATTATCCCTATCCCAATAACTTTTCGTAACAAGGGACGGGTCATCGACAAGTGCGTATTTCAATCTAAAACACATAAATTATTCAATTACGAAATCATCTACTTCATGTGAGCCTAGGTCTACGACTTCTCCCCTTTAGGTTCTGAAAGTCGGTAATTTAACTAGAAAGTGTTTAATCAACTAACCATATGAAATTGACAAATCCTAACTTGACAAATTAACATTCAATTGTTCCCAATCACAAGATCGAAGTGTCACCCACACAAGAATGAACAATTCAAGCCCGAGAGATACGAATTAAACAAGAATAATCATCCCATATCCTTAGCAGTAAGAATTAGCTACATAAAATCAATCCAACACAATTAGTCATTCTCCTGAAATCAACCACTTTCATGAATTAATTAAAAGAGAAAAACTTACATTTAGTCCCAAAATCCAAGTGTTGAATGAAATTATAAGCTTAATCCATAAGTGCTATGAAGAAGAAAAAATAAAAATAGAAAATAAAAAAGAAAAGAAGAAGAAAAATGAAGAACAAGAAGAAGAGGAGAAGAAAGGAGAAGGAGAGCTTTCATCTTTCTTTCTCGGGACCTAGGGTTTGCACCCGGTCGAGAGATTTTTTTTTTCAGGGTCGGGAACTAGTCCCCATATATAAGGATAAAAAAAACGAGCAAAAACGGGTCGAAAAATAAGTTGGGACGTGCACGTGCCGCGTGATACAAAAGTGGTTATTAACCCTTGCGAGTCCGAGGAAGAGACCAGCGACGATCTCGATATTTGGCTAGAGAACATGCTCGAGGAGCCACATGGTGAGGATTATCGGCCTTCTTGTAGGCGAGATTGGCCGAGAGATTGTGGCGATAGATCAAGGATGAGGTCAAGGAGGCGCAAGGCCAAGCGAGCTAAGGGGCAACGCAAGTCGAGGACTAATGCAAGGAATAAATGGTGCGGGCCTTGTGCGAGGAAGCGACGTGCTTGGCGAATGGAGGCTATGAGAATGGACGCGTGAGGGGTGGAAGATGGGTGGAAGATGCGCGCGGGCGATTATTGTAGGCCACCGGATAGATACGGTTGCGCGGGCATACGACTAATAGGCGAGTGGCGCGCATCAGGTGATGATGCGTGCAATAAGGTGGAGCGCACGCGGGCAGTGCTGGGAGCACACGGGTGCGCGACATGCAAGCAGGCCACGGAAGTTGGTGGTACGCGCAGAACGGCTAGTGCATGTAGGCGCGCAGTAGACGATTGGAGCGCATGGGCGCAACGCGCGGGGCGCGAGAGGACAGCGCGAGCGGGACGGAAGCTGCTGGCGTGCGCAGTACTCGCGCAGGTGGCGAGGACGCGTGGGAGCTGGGCGGCGAACACGGGACGCGCGCAGGAGGGCACGCGTGGGACGCGGACGCAGAAGTCCCAAGCCGCGCAGGACTAGGCATGGCGCTGGCGGCATACGCATGGAAGGCACGCGCGCGAAGCCGCACGCGATAAGGAGTAGGAAACTAAGGCGGCGCGCGCAAGCTAGCGGATGCGCGCGATGCGTAGGGCGATCGGATATTTTGGGGCGGCTACTTGGAGTTCAAGGCATTGGATTGAAGTGCAAGGCAAGCAGTTGGAGAGCAAGACTTTCTAGTTAATTAGGATTCTAGTAGTATTTACTTTCCTTGTTGCTTTAGAAGATCTAATATGTTTAGGATTTAATATTTTATTGCTTTAATTAGTGATCTAGTTGGAGTAGGATTAGAGGTAATTAGGATCTATAAATAGGGATCATCCCTCATTGTTTTTTATGTCCAGAATTGATGAGTTAATAGAAAAGAACGTTGTGTTCATTCATGTGTTTAAGCAAGGCCATGAGTGCGTGTTTATCATACAACCATGTCTAAGAGAAGGCCCTGAGAGCATCTTGAAGTCACACTTATCGTGTTTAGTCGAAGGCCCCGAGTGCGCGATTATACACAAACGGTAGGCAAAATCACGATCTCTCATCATTGGTGCTTTCATTGAGAGAATCCAATCGTGTTTTTTTTGTCTATTTTATCTTTTTATTTTTCGGTTTTTCCTTTTGGTGAGGGGGCCGAATTTTTTCCTTTTGTTCGATTTTTTCCCTTTTTCTTCTTCAATTTTTGTGAGTTTTGGGTGTTTGTATAAAAAAAAAAAGAGAGAGAGAGAGTTGAGAGTATCAAAAAACAAAAAAAATATGTTGTCAAACCGTGAAAGGATTGAAGCGTTGGAAGAAAGCTTGAAGACCATTGGAGATGGCCAACATGCGACCAACGAGAATTTAGGGAGGATAGAGCTCATGGTTCACGATTTGGCCGGGCAACTTACACGTATGACACACCGGCCGAGGAGGAGCCATGGAGAGCGGTCCATGGTGTCGAGCAGCACCGAGACCGAGCATGAGGACGATCGGCGATCGCATGGGACGCGCGCGACGCACGCATCACGAGCGCGCGGCGAGCGGCGCCAACACCACGACGACCGAAGGCGCGGCGACGATCGGCGACATCACCGCGGCGAACGACACCACGAGGAACGGGCTTACACGCGACCGAAGCTTACTATGCCCACGTTCACGGGAGTCGATCCGGATGCATGGTTGAGTCGGGCTGTGCAATTTTTTGAGGTCAACAATGTGCCAAGGTACGAGAGAGTTCAAATTGCTTCTTATCATCTTGATGGAGAGGCGAACGTTTGGTGGTAATGGATCTTGCACAAGAATAATGGTGAGCACATGCGTTGGAGGGATTTCAAAAGAGAGCTCATCATGAGGTTTGGATCTAGTAATTACTTTGATTATGAT